CGGAGTCAGGTATTTGAGCGAAACGAGGGGGAGGTGGTGAGAGGTAAGCAAGAAATCAAAAGAAGCGAAAAAATAACACCAGCAGCCAACAAATGGCACTCAGGGAGTCAGCTAGTGCGGGCGGGTGGAATCCAAGCAGCTGGTGCTTCCCGGTCAAGAGACAGTGGTCGCAGGAAGCAGAGGAGGCCTAGTAGGGGTGAAGAGGGGTGGAGGGGTGGGAAATCGCATATCGCCAGTTAACAATTTTTCTGTCTTGTGCTGGAAGCTCCATGAGGCTGCTTTCTTGTACCGCCTATTTGCTGGTATCTGATAGGAGTCCAAGATGGCGGATCCTTGCTGTGTTAGCTGATAGGGGACCTCTCCATATATATCTCCTCGCTGTCTGTTCTCTTGTCAGTTTCTTATTCCATTTGGTGCTTGGCTGAGTTCTTTATCTCGTCATTTGATATTTAGGGTTTTAGGATTGCTGTTTTCTCTGTTTGGCTTAGTTTTTCGGATCTTTGCTGTGGAGGGACAGCGTGGTGCTTCTGCCTAGATCACCATGTTGCTGGAAGTCATTCAACATTTTTTGAATGAGTTGAATGAGTACATTTTATTAAGTATTTTCAGATAAGTATATTTTCATTTTAATGAGATTTAGAATTGTTTTGACTAGGATATTTTATCAATACATCTTTTCTTCTATTTTTAAATATTTCTTTTTTGGTTTTTATGTGGCTGTATTAAATGGCTTCTATGGATTCATTTCCTTTTTCTCAGGGAAGTAATTGCTCTTCCTAGGTAATTCTTCAAAATAATTCACTTACAAAACGTGAAATTATTCATTAGATAGGAAGCATTTGTCTCCTTATTTTTATTTTTTCAGAACTATTAAGGTATTTGAAAGGTCAATAGATTTGATTGTATTCATTTTAAATATGCATCTGCTTGCAGAAAGAGAAAGTGTGTGAATGTGCTTTAGAAGCTGTAAAATCATATAAGAATATGCAGTATTTTTATTCTTACGTGTGTTAAAATGCTATATTGAGACTCGTTTCATTATCAGAACTTATTACCAATGATTGTTCATGAAGATTATATGGATACATTCGAAGACTCTCTTTCTGTCATGGGACTTCCAAACACTTGATAACACACAGACCAGAGTTGGGAAAATGTATGTTTTATATTTAGGGATTCTTTAATCAGTATTTTCTTGTATTCTGTAATATTCCATACTAATGTGTTCTTCAAAATATGGAAAGAAATAGTTTATACAATGTACCATGCCTCTGCCTCACCTAAAAACGAAATACCCAGAGGGACATGGGTATGAATCCCAGCTTCACCACTTTCGTATTTCACAACCCTAGATCATTACTTGATCTCTCAACCTCAATTTTCTCATTCGTAATATTAAAATAATATCTCTTTTTCAGAATTATGAAAATAAGATATATAAATCTAACCTGTAATTATATAATTATAGAACCATATGGGCCTTCTATCCTGTAGCAGCCTGAGTTGACACAGGAAACCACCCAACCCCACATACACAATCCAAACAAATTTTAGATTAAATCTTGTAATTTTAAAAGTCTATAAACAGATGCATAGCCTCTCTTAAATGTAAGAAAGGGAAATCCCCATGTGTCACATACGAAGAAGTATTTGAAAACCAAAGCAGTTAATGGAAGCTAAAGCTTAACTGTCGATTCATGAGTTATCTGAACTAGATATATGTCTAAACGACTATGATTGTAATTCTTCAGTGAGGTAGAATGTTGAGGCTGCAGGCCTCTTAGGGAATTAGAGCTGAGCTCCAGATATAAAGAAAGGAGCCCGGAAGTGCTATCCTGTTGAAATCATCTATTAAACAACTACTCTCTTGGTTGGCCTAGGGATGTAACAGAATCAAACCAGTCGCAAGGACTATGAGTGGATGAAGTCCTGACAAAAATCAGAATCCTAAGCCTGTGTTATGTATGGGTGGAGGTTTGAATTTGAATTCTTTGCCTCAGGTATAAAAAGCAAGTTAAGAAATTAATTTTCCAGACTTGTCTAGAACTAGTGAAACCTGTAGCAACACCATGAAAAGTAAACCAGCAACCTTTCTTTAAGGCAACCTCTACGACCTACTTGATATGCTGGCTAGAGATGAGCTATGTTTAAGCATCACAAAGTATGAAAGAAAAAAGGAACAGTAGAACGAGAATGTGTCAGCAGACAGAAGAAACAGAATTAATACCCAGGAACTGCTCATAAGGCCAATCTGAAAGAGATCTTAAATATGTTTAAAAACTTCAAATATTTAAAGGAAGAGTAAGGTAAGAACATTTCACTGGCCAGTTTTTTCACTAGTAGACCACCAGTCCTTCTTCGTAGTCTATCTTAGTCTGGAAGTTCCGCTGAAGCCTAGCCACCATGGGTGACCCTGCTGGTATTTGAAATATGGTGGCATAGCTTCCAGTATGACAGCAACATGCAAGCCACCACAGTGTGACAGACTGACAGACCTGTGGGAAATGTGCAGAGACCTGGAGTTAGAGAACCAAAAGGGCAGAACACACTCAGCATTTCTCAAGCTGAAAGAATGGAAAACTTCAAGCCTCAAGTTGCAATATTGAAGGATTCTACAATATTAAATGAAATATTAAATGAAATATTAAATGACGCAGGAAGCATCAAAGAAGATGGAAGGAATATGCAGAATCACTGTACTGAAGAGAGTTGGTCAACAGTCAACCATTTCAGGTGGTAGCATATGATGAAGAACCGATGGTACTGAAGGAAGAAGTCCAAGCTGCACTAAAGGGAATGGCAAAAAACAAGTCTCCAGGAATTGATGGAATACCCAACTGAAATGTTTCAGCAAACGGATGCAGCACTGGAAGTGCTCACTTGTCTTTGTCAAGAAATTTGGAAGACAAGCTACCTGGCCAGGCAACTGGAAGAGATCCATATTTGTGCCCATTCCAAAGAAAGGTGATCCAACAGAATGCTGAAGTTGTTGAACAATATCATTAATATCACACACAAGTAACATTTTGCTGAGGATTATTCAAGAACGGTTGCAACAGTTCATTGACAGGGAACTGCCAGAGGTTCAAGCCAATTTCAGAAGAGAATGTGGAACCGGGGACATCATTGCTGACGTCAGATGGATGTTGGCTGAAAGCAGAGAATACCAGAAAGATGTTTACCTGTGTTTTATTGACTATGCAAAGGCACTCGACTGTGTGGATCATAACAAATGATGGATAACATTGCAAAGAATGGGAATTCCAGAACACTTAATTGTGCTCATGAGGAACCTGCACATAGACCAAGAGGCAGTCGTTCAATCAGAACAAAAGGGTACTGTGTGATTTAAAATCAGGAAAGGTGTGCATCAGGGTTGTATCATTTTAGCACACTTATTCAATCCGTATGCTGAGCAGATAATCTGAGCAGCGGTACTATATGAAGAAGAATGGGGCATCAGGATTGGAGGAAGACTCATTAACAACTTAGGATATGCAGATGACACAGCCTTACTTGCTGGAAGTAAAGAGGACTTGAAGCACTTACTGATGAAGATGAAAGACTACAGCCTTCAGTATGGATAGAACCTCAACATAAAGAGAATAAAAATCCTCACAGCTGGACCAGTAACCAACATCACAATAAACGGAGAAAAGATTGATGTTGTCAAGGATTTCGTTTGACTTGGATCCACAATCAATATCCATGGAAGCAGCAGTCAAGAAATCAAACAACATATTGCATTGGGCAAATTTGCTACAGAAGACTTCTTTAAAGTGTTCAAAAGCAAAGATGTCCCTTTGAAGACTAAGGTACCCTTGACCCAAGCCATGCTGTTTTCAGTCACGTCATATGCATGTGAAAACTGGACATGAATAAAGAAGACAGAAGAAGAATTGATGCCTTTGAATTATGGTGTTGGCGAAGAATATTGAACATGCCATGGACTGCCAGAAGAAGGAACAAGTCTGTCTTGGAAGAGGTACAGCCAGAATGCTCCTTAGAAGCAAGTTTGGTGAGACTTCTTCTCACTTACTTTGGACATGTTATCAGGAGAGACCAGTCCCTAGAGAAGGATATCGTGCTTGGTAAAGAAGAGGGTCAGCAAAAAAAGAGAAAGACTCTCAGCAAGATGGATTGACACCATGGTTGTAACAGTGGGCTTAGGCATAACTGTAATTGTGAGGGTGACATAGGACTGGGCAGCGTTTCGTTCTGCCGTACATAGGGTTGCTATGCGTCAGAAGTGATGCGACACCTAAAACAGCAACAACAAAGTAATAACAGGATATTATGAAAAAGGAATGAAGAGAATATCTCAAATTGAAAAATATAATTATTGAAATAAAAATTTTGATGGATGGGTAAAACATCAGCTTAAATGCACCTGGATAAGAGAGCTGGAAGCCAGGTATACAGTATACTGTGTGTGGTAGAGGAGGCGCTCCATAAATATGAATTCCCTTCCCTTTCCTTCCTTTTCGCCTCCCTTTATCTGTTTGTCCCTTTATCATTTTCTATCATCAGCACATAACGAGATAACATGAACACTTTTAGTTTAGCTTCACTCTGCTCATGTGAATGAGAAATAGACTGTAGACTATTTAATCTCTTCTATAATTGAGGCAAAGAATAAAGATACTGTAAAATACTGTGCTTATTAATCATTATATAGGGAATAATTTATCTGGCTATGACCTAGGAGTAAGTACACAAAATGAGAGTTTCTCTAGTAATTTATGTTGCTTTTATTTCATTTGAGGACAGAGAAAAATATCAGGATTCTAATCCTTTTCAGATGAGATTTGAAATTAAATTGATGCATATCGCAAAAATTGCTAGTTCAGTTAAAAGGTATAATTTGACTTTAAAATATGTGGGATAGGGGTTGATTTTACTTTATGTAAGTAGTAAATTAGTAGCAACAGGTAAACAAATATTTTTTCGTGTTTAGAAATTTATTATTCATTTCAAAACTTTTATTAATATTCTCATAGTTTCTGCATCAGAGATTTCCGAGGAAGCTGATGACATTGCAATGGAAAAAGAGAAATATGTTGATGAACTGAGAAAAGCATTGGTGTCGGGAGCAGGACCAGCTGATGCATACAAGTTTCATTTTTCTAAAGAGTCTTGTCATTTCTCCTTTGAGAAAAACCTGAAAAATGTTTCAGTAAGTAAAACTTTCCATAATGTTATAAGTGGTAAAATGCCAGAGTGTTTATTGAAGAATTATGTTTAATATGTAAGTAACTAGCATATGATTTCCATAATACCCCAGAAATAAGGTTTAAAAAGTACTTGGTTTCTAAGTTGGAAGAACACTTCAAAGTTAAAGTCAGCAAGTGCTTTATATCAATGAATTGTGAAAACTAATTATTGGAAAATGTATTTAGTTTGTAAGACTTTAAAAGTATTATAACTATTATAGAGATAATTATATGAATGAGCAGTTTAGAAAATGGGGTTAAGAGTTTTATGTCATTGAGACAAGGCCTATTGAAATAAGTTTAAGGGAAATACTGATTTTCAGATAGAAAATATGTGTTTACCTTTAAATATTTAATAATTTTGACTTATTTTCTTCTTCCTTAGAATGTCTGTTTAAATTATAAAATAATGTAGTAATTTAAGGGTAGTAAAACATTGTAACTAGGAAATTAAAAAAATTGTGTTTATATCATAAGACTTAGAAATTTTAAAATAGGAAGAAATCACTTTCAGCCATGTATTCCAGAGCTTGCTTGCTTTACGCACAAGGATATCTGCTGCTCATCCTGCTCAGTTCCTGCACCAATTCAGACTAAGGCATGTGGGGTATTTAGTAAAAGTCTTATACTTATTATCTGTATATTTTATCTAAGTTGATGGGTTAATTAGGTATTAAATTTGTTTTTTGCCAGTGGTTTATTAATCAGATATGAGATCTATAGTAGAAGACAGGCGAGGGAAGTCTTTACCACATTAAGTTTAGAGATAGTTGTTGACAATTTGTGTTGGAGTTAAATTGAGTTAAAATAATTTTTTGAAAAATCTCAATTCAGAAAGATTAAAAGGATATTACGAATTAGAGAAATATTTGAAGCAAAATTGGAATTATTATTTTCAAATATATTTTACCATATAGAGACTAATATAGAGAGGCTGGCTTCAGTAATTATTTCTATTTAGAAGACATGTACTTTCTTTAAGTGGCTGTGAATTTATGTGAGTTTCAACGTGCTAAAGTCCTTAAAATGATCATTTCAAGTAGGTTAAATAAGAAGGTTTGAACTGGCTGCTAAAATTTTGTTGTTTATAGCAAATATTCTTTCCTGTGGCCCAACTCAGTGAGACGATATTATATACTATAGTACTACTGACTGTTTCTTCTAATATTTTGAAGCAGATTATTGTCAAATTGGGAGTAATGCTATTTCCCCTTCAACAAGCATTTGTATGTAATGACTACCATTGTTTTGTGCTGCCAGTTTTTGGTTTTCATCTGTTTTGTATACATTGATGCATAACAAATTCCAAATTTACTAGGTACGTTTTGGAAGCCTGAAAGGCTTTTAGTATCTTTGATGTGGTTAAAGGGGAGGCTTGGTAAACTGGGCATAGACTGAGTACTTGCCATGCTTGGCATTACCTCTGGTTTTGCTGCTTCTGTGAAGAAACAACTTTAAGTCCTCATGACTCATGTCTTTCTACAATTTGCTTGATATGTATTGGTATGAGCAACTGAAAGATGTCTTGCTTACCACCCTGAAACTGTCAACTTTATCAGAGCCAAGGCCTTGAACCACTACCTTTTCACCAGGTTTTCTTAACAATTTGAAGCAGAATAAAGGATTCTCAGTAATACAGAAGTGTTGATTCTCTGAAGGAATGTCTTAAAGCACTGCATTGTAGTTTTGATAGGTACCTCTGTATTTATTCATTTATTTATAAGAAAATGAAAGATTATTCTCAGAACAGTTTGACTAGGAGGAGTTTATTCATGATTTGGCTTTCTTGAGTGATATTTTTGGATATATGAATGAGGTGAAACTTTCAGTTTAAGGTGCTGCCATCAGCATTGTTGATACAGCTGAAAAATCACAAATTCATTTGGTCAGACTGCCTTGGGAATCTTCTAGTGCTGGAAGATGTACGCCAGTAAACTGAATTTAAGAGCGACAGTATCTTGTGAATTTATCTGCTGGCAAATATTTGTAGATTTGGAAACATGGCAGAACAGTTGGAAACATGGCAGAACAATTTTTAAGGCTAATTGTGCTTGGATGACCTAAAAATTGAAAAGGGAGTTTGTAATCCTTTCCTTGATGACACAGACATCTGATTGTTGCCAAAAATGACCTCATAAACTTAGAAGAAAGGAAATGAACATGGACTCAACTCAAAAAGTTGTAGTGAATTCTGTTGTTCATTGACATAGATTACTCTCTCATAGCAAAGTGAACTCCATGAGTTCTAAGTCCATTTGCTATTAGGTTCATACCTCTTAAGAGTCAAGGTTTTTAGGGATTTGTTGCCATCAATTCAGTGAGTTTTGTGTGTCTCATTCTGTGTTGGAGATCACTGCAAAATTATAATCTTTTGAATATTCAAGTCAAACGAATTTTTTTGAAATTTACATTCGCACCAAATTTTTTCTTTTTAGAGAAAGTAACCACTAATTTTTCTATTCAAAAAGACTTAGTTTTTTTTTAATGTTTTGTCTGAGTGAAAGAGATGTCAATTTCCAATTCAATTAACAATTTTAAATGTATAACTTTGTGTGTTCATGCTTCTGTACATTTTTTGGGGGGAGTGGGTTCATAGCTTTCATGAGATTGCTTTTGAGGTTGTGACCCCAGAATTTCAAGAACCACTCATTTGTGCTCTGGCTTTTCATTATAGATGATATATATATATTTATTTAAACTTAAATCTCATTGGAATAAATGTTGAATGAGCAGCTGGACACTACCTCCTTTTGTCTGTACAGCAGGACCCTATGTGACCCTTCTTGCCTCAGCACCAGTGCTTTTTAACTGGCAGTGAATTGTTCTGGCTGAAAGTAGACTGTGCTGCCCACATTTGGAGCACATTACATCTTCACTATAAGTACTGTCACCCACTTGGAAGATCGTTCATGTGCTGTGTGTCACCCTTTTCCCTCTGCCTTTCATAATTTGTACTGATTTTGCAGAATATGTTTTGTCATTTCAGCAACACATCTTCATTAATAATGTCTTTATCTTTCTTTTTTGCTTTTAAATCTTGCTCTGTTTCTTCAGAAAAAAAAAATTCCGTTCATGGGCCAGAAAAAAAAGATCTAATAGTTTTTGATAAGAATAACCTTGGGTTAATCATTTAACTTGTTCATGCCTCTGTTTTCTCATCTATAAAATTTTTTAAGTGATTTCTTAAATTCATTACAGGGCTAACATACTATAGTTTTATATTTCTGAAAATAAACCTAATGAAGCCGTGAAGATTGAAGCAAAATTAAACACAGTAAAAATCTTTTAATAAAACAAAACAAAAAACTAGAATTAGGCTACACCGTCTCTATTGGAATTATAGCAAAGTCTGCTTCTATTCTATTTCTCTTCTTCACTCTACACCCTTCCGATATTGGATTAAGAACAGTTTAGGCTAAAAATTTGGTGACTTGAATAGCACAGAGGTTTATTTTATCTAATGTAAAATTCCAAGTAGGCAGTCCTTGGTTAATATGATAGCTTTTATGATATTAGAGACCCAGAATACTTCATTCATGTTGCTTTGCCGTGTTTAATAGATAGTTTTTATCTTATGGTCCAAGATAGCTGCTCTAGCTATCATTATTATATTTGCCTTCCAGGCTGCAGGAACAAATTGAAATAACATGTGCCTTCTCTTTAAGGCCATTTTCCCTAATTTGCATCATTTAATTTTGCTCACATTCCATTTTCCAGAACTTACTCACATGGCTACACCTAGCTGCAAGGGAAATCTGTGAAATCTGGTCTTAAGCCAAATCCTGTGTCCACAAATTTCGTTATTGTTTAAAAAGAGAAAGATGGATTTTAAGGGACAACTAGCGGTCTCTGCATGTTAACATTCAGGAAAGACAAACATGTTTTTACTCAGCAAGTTTCACTTTTAGTGAATCAAGGGTATTTCTCCAGCATTTTCATTATAAGTAAGTATTTCAGTAATAGTTTAATTTTTTTTTACACTATACAGTAAGGTATTGTCTAGTCTGTTTCTTACTGCAGGTTGTAACTATCTTTTCACTTTTTTTAGTGAAAAATTTATTCTGAATTTAGTCAGCCTCTCTATTTAACTTACATTTCTCAGATATATGAAAATGAGGTAAAATAAGCTAGCCAAAATAACAGCCGAAGTTGTTTTTTAAAAAAAAGCAGTCCAAAATCCTGTATTATTGCCATGTGTCCCTGTGGTTTAGGGAACTCTGAATTCAAAGGGTCATTGCCAGATGAAATCTCAGAATCCCAGAATTTATGATGGTGCTCTGCCCAAGGCTTTGTCAGAAATGGTAACGACTTTCAGGTTTGTGGGAGTATGGGTTGCAAATCTGCTGTTTGAATGCCTGAAAAAGAAATCATAGTATTCTTTATTTCTGTGATAAAAGCATTTATCTACATCTGCCATTTTTATATCAAACACTTTATAGTTTCCTGACCCTTTTGGAATGTGGGAACTAAATCAGTAGCATTAAGTGGTGCAGAAATCCTGCTCGAAGTATTTATCTTCTAGTTAAGCCATAGAAGGAACTTTAGAATTTTTACTTTTAAAAACAAAATTATTAATTTTCAGTTATAGTATTTTGTTTTTGAGAACTTGTTTTCTTTTTCTTGTGTCATATTGCCCAACTTTGGTTTAAAATTCTTCTTTATTAGAAACATCTATAAGCCATTGTATCTTTTTTCAGTTACTCAAGGATTGTTCAGGGAAGAAACAACTTACTGTAAGAACAGAAGTAGAAAGTAGCATGCAAAAACTAGACTGCAAAAGGATTTTTTAGTGCTAATAAAAATATCTGCTTATTGCTTTACAGTTTATCTATTTTAACATGTTTTATCTCTTTTCATCACGTGGACTTCGTAATGTCACTATTTACAGATGCTGAAAAGATAAGTAAGCTGCTCAGGAAAGCAGATGTAGTAAGTTAGTGAAGATAGAATTCAGGCCTCTGCC